CCCTTGTTTGTTGTTGTTAACTGTGTTCCCGGGGGAGAGAGTTCAGCTCTGTATCTTGTAGCCTTGAAATAATGGAAATAATGGAAATCTGTTAAATCTGCATTTGGGTCCTGCCTGCTTCACTCAACCCTGACAGAAGGATCTAACCAAAAATGGACCCAGCAGACAGCCTTTACGAGGTGACGTACAATTTAATGTTCTTACAAAATGACTGTTGATATGCCTCCAGTAGAGAGGAAAGGCAGTCTATCATCTCTACGGCACGCCAAGAAGTAACCTCAAGGCCCTGTTTAAGGGAGTTACTTCCCGAGTGGGTGGAGGACTTTTTTGGTAGCTTTGAGGTCAAACCTGTTTCCCGGCCTGCTAGCCCCAGGCATGCTAGCCCCCTGCCTGCCACAGTTACCAACAAGGCTCCTTTCGTGGACCCTTTTGCTGGGTCTCGTCTGGCCTTTGGAGGACCTCTGAGCCTCCGCAAGGCTTCAAGCCAGCATGGAAGGAAACGCAAGGCCAGGATTCCAGTACCGGCCCTTGCAGCCATGGTTCCGGCTCCATTACCGGCCCCAGCTGCCATGGTTCCGGCTCCAGTACCGGCCCCAGCAGCCATGGTTCCGGCTCCAGTACCGGCCCCAGCAGCAATGGTCCCGGCCCCAGCAGCCATGGTTCAGGCCCTGGTTCCGGCCCCAGCAGCCATGGTCCCGGCCCCAGCAGCCATGGTTCAGGCCCTGGTTCCGGCCCCAGCAGCCATGGTCCCAGCCCCAGAAGCCATGGTTCCGGCTCCAGTACCGGCCCCAGCAGCAATGGTCCCGGCCCCAGCAGCCATGGTTCAGGCCCTGGTTCCGGCCCCAGCAGCCATGGTCCCAGCCCCAGAAGCCATGGTTCCGGCTCCAGTACCGGCCCCAGCAGCAATGGTCCCGGCCCCAGCAGCCATGGTCCCAGCCCCAGAAGCCATGGATCAGGCCCTGGTTCCTGCCCCAGCAGCCATGGTCCCTCCTCTAGTCCCTCCTCTAGTCCCTTCTCTAGTCCCATCTCAAGTCCCTTCTCCAGACCCTTCTCTACTCCCTACTCAAGTCCCTTCTCTAGTCCCTTTTCAAGTCCCTCCTTTAGTCCCTTCTCTAGTCCCTTCTCTAGTCCCTTCCCAAGTCCCTTCTCTAGTCCCTTCTCAAGTCCCTTCTCTAGTCCCATCTCAAGTCCCTTCTCCAGTCCCTACTGAAGTCCCTTCTCTATTCCCTTTGCAATTCCCTTCTCTAGTCCCTTCTCAAGTCCTTACTCAAGTCCCTTTCCAAGTCCCTTCTCAAGTCCCTTCTCTAGTCCCCTCTCAAGTCCCCTCTCAAATCCCTTCTCATTTCCCTTTTCTAGTCCCTTCTCAAGTCCCAACACCATGTCCTGTCTCGTTGGGGGTCCTGCCGACTACTGTTCTGCCGGGGGTCCTGCCAACCCCTTGTCTTGTCCCTTTGGGGGTCCCGCCGTCTACTATCCTGCCGGGGGTCCTGCCAACCCCATGTCCTGGTCTGTTGGGGGTTCCGCTGGGGGTCCTGCCAACTCTGTGTCCTGTTCCGTTAGGGTCCCACCGTCACCTGTCTCACCGGGGGTCCTGCCAACTCCTTGTCCTGTTTCGTTGGGGGTTCCGCTGAGGGTCCTGCCAACTCCGTGTCCTGTCCTGTTGGGGGTCCCGCCGACCACTGTTCTGCCGGGGATCCTGCCAACTCGATGTCCTGTTCGGTTGGGGGTCCAGCCGACACCTGTTTCGTCGGGGGTCCTGCCAACCCCATGTCCTGGTCCGTTGGGGGTTCCGCTGGGGGTCCTGCCAACTCTGTGTCCTGTTCCGTTGGGGGTCCTGCCGTCACCTGTCTCGCCGGGGGTCCTGCCAACTCCTTGTCCTGTTTCGTTGGGGGTTCCGCTGGGAGTCCTGCCAACTCCGTGCCCTGACCTGTTAGGGGTCCCGCTGCCACCAGATCCTAACCCGCCGGGGGTCCCGCCTACACCATGTCCAGTTCTGTTGGGGGTCCTGCTGACGCCTCTTTCGCCGACACCGTGTCCTGTTCCGACGCCTCTTCCGCCGACACCGTGTCCTGTTCCGACGGCGGTCCCGTCGACACCAGCCCTTGTTCCGTCTGGAGTCCAGTCGACACCAGCCCTTGCCCCGTCCGGGGTCCCACTGACACCAGCCCATGCTCTCTCCAAGGTCTCGTATGTGCCGTCCCATCGTGGGTTCCGTCTACACCTTTCCCGACGGCTCCGGTTCCTGTCCGGCCGACACCGGTTCCTGTCCCACCAACACCGGTTCATGTCCCGCCATCCCCGGTTCCCAGTGCTCCCGATTCGGCGATCCAGCTGACCCCGGAGGGGCCCCATCGCGGCCTACGCCGTATTCCTGTCCGTCCTCCGGAGCTGTCCCGCCTCCGTCCTGCCCGTCCTCCGGAGCTGTCCCGGCGCTGCCTTCTTGCCTGGCCTTGTGCTCGGCCCCCTGGCTTTCCCTGTCGATGCCTTCGCCCTCGAGTCCGGCCCCCTAATTTACCCCGACGAGGCCTTCACCCCTGTCTTCGGCCCCCTGAGTTTCCCCGCTACGGACTTCCCAGCTCTGCTGCTGTTCCCCCGGGCCGTCCGCCGAGTCCCCCTTCTCGGCCTCTGCTTTTCCCCGGGATGTCCGTCTGTCCAAATGTTTCATTGAGGGCCACATACAGAAAAACATATGAAGGGCTGGGCCCCTCACTAGTGGTGAAGTATATTGCCTCATAACTTATTTTATAAGTTAGCAAAATTAATCAAATGTCGGTAAATTATTCTTGATACATGAATATGCATGGATTTTTTATCCACTAAGATTAGTTAGAAAGTGTTCTCATCTTTAATTGCCTGAATTGATCTGAAAAGTGGGTTTATTAACACATCAATACTACTGTGTAATATATGTTTACATATATTTAAGAAGAACATTGTTACTCAAGTCCAATTTTCAGGTGGCCATATTCCATTCTACTTTAGAATAAGCTGAGGGCCAATTTAAAAATGGACCCAGGGCCACAGTTGTCCCCCGGGCCGTAGTTTGGACACCCCTGCTTAAGGCCGTATTTTGTATTGATACTGGTCACATGTTCTCACCAAGGTCAATAGTGTGGTCCATGAACACGACGAGTCACTTTATCAAAGTCTGACAATATAAACAGGCCAACAGTTTGCCCACATTATCCCAACCATCTGACTCATTTTAAGCAATGCTGTGTAATCCCCAAAGGCAGGAAGAATAAAGTCAAACACAATTATCTTTTAAATAATACTTCTATAATCAAATTGAAAATGATTTTCGTTATCTGAAAGGAGCAGACTGTCTGAGCTCTGGATAAAGCAAAAGTCCAACAAGAGGATATAAACGTGTTTTTCAAGAACTGTCAAGTTTAGAAAGGACTTGACTTTGGCTAAGATTTGGAGTCCAAGAAAACATGTTTGTGTACTCCTGTTCACTTGGGGATTCCAGATTATTGTCTGAACAGTAATTCCAGATTACTGCACAGACAGGCTTCTTACTGCATATTATGATCCGGGACCTAAAACAGTGTACTGTGGAGATAGTGATAGTCCTGGCAGGCAGCAGTGAGCAATGTGTTATATTTTAAACGTTCTGATTGCGATTTGTGCCGACCAGCTGCCCGCAGACCGTCAGCAAGAACAAACACCTGACACATCAGATAGAATCTGTGCAGCAACATCTGGCAACACAACCCATTATTTTGTACATACAGTAGCCCACACATCTGCTGCTTCTAGTGAAAAAAAGGTTGAGCAATCTCTCAGATATGTCCTCTGTCTTTTCACATTGTAATCCTCAAGACACTACCAAAGCTTCTGTTAGTTGAGCGACAACTTGTTTGTCGTCCTGAGTCGATGCTCTGAGTTGGTGGCTGCTAAGCCATTTTACAAACTGATCTTTTGTACTCCTTTTGCAATTCATGAACTGTTGTTTGCTGACTCAAAAAGAGAGAGCGCCGCTCAGGATAACCCACCCTCAAGATCAGCAGACACCCTGAGACAAAGGAGCAGAGGGATGGAGGCGAAGGAACACGTGTGAGTTTGAAAAGGGAAAGAGATGCAACTCTTCCCGCTGCAGTGATTGTTGTAGCACATTTTCAGGAGAAATCCTCCAGTCTGACCTAAAAGCAGGCTCAGCAGCCGGGCTTAGAGATTTACTAATTGTTTTGGTGTTACTTGACCTCATGGCACGTACTGGAGGAAAACAGTGTCATGGGACTGTTTTGCAACTTGATTATAGCTTGAGAGATTACAGTTGGTCATGGAGAAGGACACGGCAGCGTTAGTACACTCAGCTTCACAAAGTGACTCACAGAGACACGAAAAGACATGAGTCTGCTGAGACGCTGGCAGAATGAGTAACGTAGGAATGTGTTTGGTATTTAAAGTAGCATTTACGTTTTTACTTTCCAGACTCACGTGCATGTCCATCATAACAAATTCAAGTTATAAAAACACAAAACATATATCAGAATAAATCTGTAAAATATGCAAACAACAATTTACATTTGGTTATTTAGATCCATCCAAAGAAAAACATGGACATATTTTACTCTTCTTCCAGTTACTATTAACGACAAATATGCTGATAGTAGTTAATGTATCTTTGAAAAATGTATCATTTTAAAGACTAAAACGTGTCACCATAAATCAAGCTATAATGAGAAAGCTGTATGAAAGGGATAAAGGAACAGACTGTCTGTGTTGCACTTCTTCCAGATTAAAGCTCACATGTACAGAATGATCACATGACTGATGATTACTGATATTCTGTACAAACTGTCCACTGAGACAAATGTAACATTTGTGATATTGGGCTGTATAAATAAACATTGATTGATTGATGACTATAATCATTTAACTTCACATCACTTTAGTTTTGTAATCTCCTCCTGTGGATGATCACAGGTGGGGTGAATGAAAGTGTGTTGTTAGTAAGTCTCCCTTACAGAGGAGGAGGTGCTGGGCTTACTCACATCAAATAATCTCTCTATGTACACCTCCTCGTTGACCTTCTCCCGCAGCATATCCTGGGAATGACGAACAAACGTCACGTAACCGTCAGCGATGTCCATCCCTGGCTTCTGCAGAGGAGAATAGGGAGAGAGAAAGAGTGAAAAAGTAATACCTCAGTGTAGAAATACTCTGTTACATGTCCTGCATTCAAAATCTCAGTTAAGTGAAAAAAGGAGGAGTTTCTTTGTTACTATACTTACTGCCGGGATGCTTGTGAATTTTCATCAGGGGATCAATAAAGTTTATCCTGACCTCAGGTTTTCAAACATTTTTACTACAGTATCCATATAGTATAAAGTAATAGGAAATGGAAATATTAAAGTTTAGGTCCTTTAAAAAAAGATAGTGTCCACCCCAGGGTTCATGTTATCACCATATTGCCTTAATACTGATACAGAATATATGTGATAGTATCACACAAGGCTTTTCTTCAACACTTAAAACTTCTCGATTGGATGTTAATTAGATACTTTTTCATTATAATAAGTAACTAATAAATAGCAGTGACAAACTATCAAAAGGCTTTGTGACACAGCTGTCACATTAAGCTGCTGTTAAAGTTTATGGTCACAGTCAAATATAGTGTTTTGCATTCAATGATTTATTCGAGGATGTCGATACATTAAAGGAAAAAAAATGGTGTATTGTCTTCTTGGCAAACTTAATGCAACAGATATAATGGCGCGTTTCCACTGCAGCGGGGTAGCCCCGTTTAAGCGTCCCTAAGCGTCCTCGCTCTGGCCTCGGGCTGCCTCGCTGGCCGGCCCAGGCCGTGGCGCATTTCCATTACAGTTTAGGACCTGGGGTAGCAACGCAGTGTAGGCGGGGCGATCGGCTTTGTTTTTGTTCACATTTCGAGTTGTTCCTTCGAGCTCCCGCTGGATTTGATCATCCCCAATGAGATGTAGGAACGTCGTCACCTCCTCGGTCGACCACGGTGTGCTTTTCTTATTAGACGTAGACATTTTTGTAGCTCATCCATTTACAAAATGCTGTTTATAAAAATGCTGCAAGCTTGCTTCTAGATATATATGCGACGCTAGGGATGAACTCGTGCGCAATCTTGTGACGATTCTCTCTGACCAATCAGCAGTCGAGAGTGTTGACGTCACTAGTTCAGCCCTGGCCCTGGTCTGAGGGAACCACGATTTTATGAGGCCGGAAAAAGAGGGAAAAAGTACCCGCTGGCCGGTACTAGGCTATATGGAAACGCCACCAAAAACCGGCCTGGCCGCTTGAGGACGGTTAAGGACGCTTAAACGGGGCTACCCGCTGCAGTGGAAACGCGCCATAAAGGTCTAAAGCTGTGCTAGTGGCCCCTGGAGGCCACAACTCCAAACACAGCCCATTCCTCCAGAGAGGCTGTCTGCGGACCCCTCCCAAAGTATTTAAACAGTAACTGAATAGTCTAGTATCAATTAATGGTGGGGTAGGTAATTTTGGAGAAACCAGCTCGAGTGCGCTAGAATTTTAAAATACACAACTGGAAAAAATCTGCCACTTCCTCACAGAGCCCCTCATCCAACACACAGGAACGCGCACATGACCAATGAGGGCACGAGATAAGTTTGTGCACAGATGGAAGGCTGACAGGCAGGTAGGCCATCCAGTTACTTTAGCCGGGCCGGCTCAGATGATTGGTCGTGCTTTTTACAGTACTACAGCTTCCACAGATGACATGCTTTTTGTCAAAGCATTTAAGATAATCATTGCTATCGGGATGTTAAGAGCATTCCATGGAATATAACAAAAAGTGTATCTCGGACTTACCTAGTCCACCTTTAAGGTAGACTTTAAAGGTGCCCACACTTTATCCTAGTGACTGTCCTAGCATGCTGTTGTTAGCATTTAGCTCGGAACACTGTGCCCACAGAGCTGCATGGCTGCTGACTCTACTCTGTCATGAGCAGTATTCAGATTATTTACGTGAGAATACATTCCGATATCACAGTGTAAAAACGTAAGTAAAAGTATTTAAGTACGATTAGGACAATCTACATAAAGTATGTAGGGGTACAGTTCTCCTTGCAGAAGAAACTGTGAAATATCTTTGAACAAAAACGTATTTTTTTGTTTTAGTTACTTCAATAGAATCTTGGATAGTTTAATCTGAACACTATAATCATTTTAAAACAGTTTAAACATTTTTTTTTTATTGTGTGTCAAAATGAATTTATAAAGTAGTAAATACATCACAAAAATGTATGTAGTGAAGTAAAAAGTACAAAGGTTGCCTCCAAAATGTAGTAGAGTATAAAGTAGTATACAATGAAAGTACTCGGGTAAAGTATAAGTACCTCAAATGTAATACAGCAGGGAAAATATATTTCAAATTATACTTACTAATAAGGATAATCGGGACGGTTTTCTAAAACGTTGGAGGAATGTATTATTGGGAGAATAAGGAGAAGTGTTGTATCGACAGTGAGGGGGGGGAGCCCTCTCAGTCTGGCCATGTGCAAAGTGAACAGGGCACTGAGACACTTTGCGGTTTGATGGCAGAGCAGACTGTTAGGAGGCCTGCCATGCTGACATCTAAAATATTCACTGAGGACAATGTGTTTGTACCCGGCACCTTAGTTCGCTTTCTTACATCAACAGTTCTTACCAGAAGAGACGACACACCATAAACCTTTAGGTCTCAGTTTCTGTCTTTTTTCCCAAATCATACAGATTAAAAAAACTCATCGCTAACTGCCAATAAACTTAGTTAACACATCTGCAATGACACTTACAATGTGTAAATGAGAGTCTTTTACCCAGTGGAACTCTTATTTTGTACATTAAGGACACAATTATCGTGCTGGGCTGGAAGCTGCGACCCCTGCCAGTGCACACAGTGGCGCGTCACGTTCACTGACAAGGCATTAATTTGAAATTTGGCATGTTGCTACGGCCGTAGTGTTGGCAGTTAATACAGATCTGATGCACCCACACGCATATACAAACACACAGAAACACACGCAGCCCCAGCGGCACCCTGACAGCTGAATGGGCATGTGTTGCACAACATGGACTCACAATGTGTAGCACAGAGAGCGAGGCACGGTGTCTGGACACATGCATATCAATGGACATTTGTGGGAGGAAACATGAGGACATTTGATGTGGAAATATGATAACCAAGGCCATCTGGATTATGGTTCTACATGTGAAAGCATGGTCAAATATTTGTACATCCACAAGAAACAAACACACGCGCGGTCCTGGGGAAAATAACACCGGGTTCTGGTCCTATAAACAACCTTAAACTTTTTATTTGAAAATTATGTTGAAATGTAAATTAAATTAATGGAGTCTTAACCAATGTGTTAATGGTTGTCCGTTTATTTTTACATAGGCGATAAATAATTACATTTGGTTTGCACAATAATATGAAATGAAGCTCCTTCACTTTGATTCTGCGTCTCGTCTCGCGAGTATTTTTACATATGAGTGATTTCAATAAGCAAATGCATGTTGGAAGAGTCTTACTGTATATGCCAGTGTTGTATTTTAGTTCTCTTGCATCAACATAATGCATATTAGAGTTTCTCATATTTTCATTTTGGTTTTTGCTTTTATAAATCACATATTTAGTTTAATTGTGGATTTTATAAATGTTTCCTTTATATCACTCCTGTAATTAGAACTTTGTGGTTCTGTTTAGACAGCATAAACCCTCATTACGCTGAGGTATCTTGTTTATTTAAAAAATATGTCTGACTACCTTGGCCTCAGTGACACAGCTCTTGCCTGGTTAGAGTCCTACCTCTCTAACAGGAAACACTTTGTCACCATCAGTGACTGCAGCTCCCCTCCGGCCCAGTTAACCAAGGTGTACCTCAAGGCTCTGTGCTTGGACCCCTCCTATTCACCATCTACATGCTCCCACTTGGTCAAATCATCCGCCACCATGGTCTCAGCTTTCACTCTTATGTCGATGACACACAGCTCTATCTCTGCACCAAACCGTCCACTCAGCTCCCCCCTCAATCCCTTGTCAACTGCCTCCAGGACATCAAAAACTGGATGTCATCAAACCTACTCAAAATCAACAGCAATAAAACAGAGCTCATCATTGTGGCTCCCAAGGCGCAGCTCCAGAAGGTTGGAGACCTGCTTCTCACCATTGATGGCTGCTCCATCTCCCCGTGCACTGAAGTCCACAACCTGGGAGTCATCCTGGACACCACCCTCTCCTTCCAGGCGCACATCAAATCTGTTACCAAATCCGCCTTCTACCATCTCAAAAACATTGCCAGACTCCGCCCCCCACTCTCTGACTCTGTGGCAGAAACACTTGTACACACCTTCATCACATCCCATCTGGACTACTGGAATGGAGTCCTGTCCGGGGTTCCCAGCAAAACCCTGGACAGGCTCCAATACGTCCAGAACTCTGCCGCCAGGCTTCTCACCCGCACCAAGCCATGGCAACATCACCCCCACCCTCATCCACCTCCACTGGCTGCCGGTCAAGTCCCAGATTCAGTACAAAACACTCCTCCTCACGTACAAGTCCCTCCATACCCTTGCCCCCCAGTACTTATCGGACCTCCTCCATCCCTATACCCCTTCTCGGAGTCTGCGGTCCTCAGACATGGGCCTGCTCTCCATCCCCCGCTCTCGCCTCCGAACTGTTGGTGACATGGCATTCAGTGCTGCGGCCCCCACCCTCTGGAATGCACTTCCTGCCGATATCCGTAATGCTGCCTCCCTGGACATCTTCAAACCATCATTAAAAACACACCTGTTCACCCTGGTCTTCGAGCCCTAGCCCTTTCTTGGTCCCCCGGCTTCCTTTATTTTTTGTTTGCCCTTTGATTATCTGTTTGTTTTGTTTGTCCACCATGTACAGCGACCTTGGGTCCCTTGAAATGCGCTATATAAATATAATTTATTATTATTATTATATCAACAAAAGCCAGCATCTTTCTCAAACCTTGAAGAGTTTTAGTAGCCGATGCTAACCACACATGGTATGCAGGGTAATACCTATTCAAATTAGTTATATCAATATATGTTTGAGGAGACAGGGTTGATTAATGTATGATTAAGCGATAAATAGAAAAATAAGTAAATCTCACTTACAGGTACGTCCACATACTTTGAAGCAGCTTTTACCTGGACAAAGAGGAGAGAGAAGAGGTGAAAAACTGGAAGTGTGTCACAAACACAGAAGCTACTGATTATCTGCAGGAATATGTTTAAAAAGAAAGGGATGATGGTGATGGAAGTGATACTTACTGTGAAAGAAAGGAAGGAAGAGAAGAGCGTTCCTTCGTCATATCTGGAGAGCTTGGCTAACACACCCTCCAGGATGACCACAAACTGAGGAATGGGACAAAAAGAAAAACAAGCAGTGGAATGACTGAAATTGTGAAAATGCAGCAGTGCCACAAACAACCCATCGTCCATCTCGATCAAACGACGAGTAAAAACCAGGAAGGATTAGCAGTAAAACGTACTTTAACATCCGTAGTATTGATTCATTTAAAGGGGACATATTATGCTATATTTGAACAATATATTGTAGGGCCATACCTATATAAAGTATATAAATATAGTTTTTTTTTCAAAATACCAAACAGATCCTGCATTTTAGCCATGCCTCATTTCGCTCTATTTGCTCTTTCCAGCGCTGTTTTTGCAGGGGCTGATTATGTGAGCTGCAGCTGACCACGCCCCCCTGCAGGAGAGGGGAGCATGCTTTGAGATCAGCTGCTGGGCTGCAGCGGGGAGAAGAGGGGGAGAAAAAGAGATCTCCGTCCACCGTGATTTATTCTTATAGAAGTGAGAAGAGAAGTAACGGGGCTGAAACCCTTTTTACGCAGCGGTCCAGACATAGACATCAAACGGCGACACATATTCAGTTGCCAGTTCCTTTGGCATTAGGGCAGGGATATCTAGATACTTTCCAAGGTTTGACATCATGAATTGTGCTACTTTTAAAGCAAGCAACGATTTTTTCAAATCTGTAATCAAAAAGCTCCTCAAAAACGCTATTGAAGCAGTTCCTGCCGTTGCTACGTTAGTTCAAACAGTAACAACAGACTATTTTTCTTAGCGGATGCATGTCAATTTAAACCAATACATACAAATATTTTTTAAATCAATAAAATCATTTTCTAAATCCATAAAAGCATTTAAATTAATATTGGGAGTCATATCGTTACTTTGTTGAGAATGTGGCCATGTAATAAGTGGGATAATGTGCACATTGCATAATGTGCCTTCATGCCGATCTAGATCCCTCCCAAGGGGCAAACTCTGGGGAATAGCTGGGACACCAATACGGAAGTGCCACACAATGCAGTTCATATATTGGCCGATAGGCGATGGCTGCAGAAAGGAGCAATTTCCATAGACCCCCATGTTAAAATGCCCAATTTTACAGCAAAAAAAAACATGTTTCTACCCCTGGCTCCATACATTTTATTATCGATATAGTTAGATTCCACCTTCATGATTATGGATCTGTGAGTGAATTGTTTTCTAACACGACCCTTTTATTTATATTAGGTCTTAACGTTTTTGCATAAATTAGGGCGTGGTCACATTGAGTGACGGCTCTGTCAAGTGACTGCTGCTGCTAGCTTCTCGTCTCTCTGCTACCTGCTCCGTGAAGCTACAGGGACTCTGCCTGGTCAGTTCATCCAGGGAACACAACTTGAAGCCAGCCGTGGTTGTTTGTTCTTCATGCTTATATATCGGACTATTGTGACTCGCTCTGCAGTTAAAACAGACGGTGCATGAATGCGGTTTTGCGGTAAGTGAAATTCGAGTGCTTTATTTATGTGTTAATGATTTTAATCAGCTACGTAATGAATGTTAAGGCTTGGGTTAGCATGCAGCGAGTGGTAGCTACATCCAGGGGCGGTTCTAGGGGGGGGCAGTGCCCCCTAACACTGACCTCTGACCCCCCTGTGGCCCCCCTAACAATGAAAAGTATTTTTATTTTTATTTTTTTTAATGTATATTTTCTTGTGCTCGGTTTGCCAAATACCGCAGGATTTTGTTGCTGTAATGTGAGATTGTGCAGACACCCTTATGTAAAGTAGAGATGTAACTGTTCATTGCCTTTATTTTTATATAAATATGGTGTTAGTGCAAACATTGCACTATAACTTAAGCTGAAGCTAACAGTAATAACTATAAGATCTATCTGAAATAAATAAGTGTACTGAAACAAATACCAATAACTGTATTGCATTGTTTTCTTATGCGCAATTACTTCATACTGTCTAGTTCTCTTTTTCGTCCTGCATTTATTGTGCCCCCCTCAGAAAATAACTGGCCCCCCAGTGGCCCCCCCAGTCAAATTGGTCTAGAACCGCCACTGGCTACATTGGTGCTAACGATGCTAATTGTAGCCTCCAAGTTAAAATAATAGACTGTATATATAAAGGTTAAAACGAAATAGACGTTAAGTGGGATAATACTGTTGAACAAACGGCTTATGTTTGAGGTTGATAAAATAAGGTCATCCTTGTAACGTAGAGAGATATTGTATTATGTAGCTAGGAACTGTATGCATCGCTAAGGTTAATTTAAATTGCTATGCTCAAGTATGTAGACAAGTTAACGTCGAAGTAGTCTATGTGAAATCAACCTCACAATAAGATGTGTATATTACAATTATTAATGTCATATTTCAAGATGATTACTTAGATATTACAATATGGTTGGTTGAGCTGGAGTTCATTATTGAGCTTACACGTTAACGTCACAGTCATCTGAAGAACGAACCCAAACCTTGTTGTTTTTATTTATTGCATTACCACATGGGTATCAAATAAACAGTAAGCATTGGTAACACAACTTCCAAAGTTACAGTAAAATAAAAAGGACACTGACTCGGACAATACACAATCCAACATGTTCAACAGAAGAGAATCAGTTATATTGTTTGTACACATGGTACTTTACATATATCTGTTTGTTTAAGGTGTCCAGGTGATGCAGACAGGCTGGACCAGAGAGTGAGAGACATAACTGGACTCCTCACAGCAGTGAACTTCAGCACAGGTACAAAGACTCTTTTTTCATACTGTACAAAGAATCAAGAAAGATATTGGTTTAAATAAATGAAGTATTGACTTGAATACACTGATATACATTCCATTAAACAATACTAAATACTAGATCACCTACACATCAGTTAAGTTGAGGGTTTTTTCCATGCAAAAGGTTACATTTAGATGATAACAAGCAATATGACTTTGTCAGCTTTCTAATTTAATGTATTGAAGGCAAAGATATTTAACACATAGTGAGAACTGCTACTATTTATCTCTCAATATTGTCTGTAAAAAACGTGGTAAAAGTTATTCTTTCAGTGAGACAACAGAGTAAGCTTCTACAGTTGCACAACTTGCACTACGTTTTGATAACAGTTAAATATTATTTTGATAATAACATATTTCAATGTTGATGAACTTCATACTGTTCATTCATAATCTGATTGTCTTTGTAGCTCACTGTTGAAAAAAAACAAACATTACAATATAATTATATCTACAGCCCCTAAACACACAAACATACCGCTTTCATAAATAACACACTTGTTCTGCAATAATATGTTTTATGTTTCCTGTCATTTTTGTTAGGAAAGGACATGCCTGAGAGACACGACATTTTCTCCTTCTCTGAGGGTCAAGAAGAACATCCAAGAGGAACATTACAAGCTGATGCTATGAGATTTTAAGACCAGTACAGGACATTCACTAAGAAACTACTTTTATTGTGAAAACACAGTCAGCTGATCGTATGCACCTATTTCCACATCTACACTCCATCAGCTGATTATTTCTATTTGCCTCACTTTATGAGCTTCACATCACTTGTGCCTTGTACCGCAGAGTTTGCAACGTCACAAATAAATGGGGCCAATCTTCAGTCAGATGTGAATGTGTAATCTAACATTTTCAGTAAGAATAATGGATAAAAGGAGAGCAAATACAAATACAATTTATTGAAATGTGAACCAAAAGTTAATCAAATGTTTTAAATAAAAAGCACATACGGACAGAAGGTGTAAACCTATTAAATGTATAAGTAAACACATTTAATCAAATAACGTGACAGACTAGGCCTGTGGTATCAGCTTTGCCCAGCATGGGCTCCTCCATCAGGCCTGGTCCTCCTCGCAGAGGAAAGACCCTCAGTCCTCTCCAAACCAACAGATAGGACGTCCATCACATGGAGGTTTCTCCCTGAAGTCTATGCAGCTCTCTGGACACCAGGCTGTCTCAATCCGTCCACACTGAATATGAGAGGGGGAACATGAAAATAATAAATGCTTTAGACAATAAGAAACATAAAGTCGACTGTTGAGTTGCTCAGTTTTTTTAGATTGTCAAAACTATTACTGTATAACTAATATATCAGGTTAAGAGGCACATTCAAATAAAGATTGGTCTTTAAATACATTTTGTCTTTTCAATTGTTTGTCTAAAGTCAAGGATCTAGAACTGGTACTTAGTTTTAATGATAGTCTGGTTATTATGCTGTTTGGAGGAGGCCTCACAGGTAAGAGCACTAACTAGCTACCATCACATGTACCTTAGCTTGACTTAAATGTATTAAACGTATAATTAAGTGATATCAAAATACAAATAACTAATGTCATGCAAACATATTCATATTTGCTTGATTCCAGTGTTGAATTTAGCACAATTGCATACAAACATTAAGGGATTTTAAGATTCTGAAGTATTATCCTAAAAACTCAATAACTTAGATTATTATTTATAGTTTTGCTGAATAGTTTCATGTCCGCTTACCTTAGAAACGTAAAATTACACGGCAGTGTGCAGATGGGGAGCATGTTAGCTTAGCTTGGTAGCTTCAGCTAGCTCTGGAACTTCCAGCTTGGTGGCAGCAGGTCCCGCCTCAGCTCCGCCTCTTTGCCCTTATTTGGAGCAGGCGGGAGTTGAACTCTGACGTCACTGTCGAGCCGTTAGTGGCCGACTCCGCCTACTAAGGGCTTCTCTGCAACTCTGCAGAATCCTATGGGTGACGTCACGGACCCTACGTCCATTTATATATACAGTCTATGATCCCTCCGCTTCGCGTCGGGCTCCTGATCAGCCTCGGTGTTCTTTTCCCCATAATGACCGCGTCGCTGCACATTATCCCTTACATATGATTATATAGAGTCATTATTCATTTGTTTTAAAGCAGGAGGCGCAAACGCTTGCCTCGGGGAGGGAGAAAAAGAGCCACAGCGGAGAATAAGTCTTCTTCGCTGCTTTTGTGGCAGACTACAGCGCCACTTACAGGCCTGGCATATGTACTACAGCGTCTCCAGCGCTTTCGAGCGGCAATGGCCGGCCGTGGCCCAACCTCTCATTCCTCTGATTGGTGGAGAATTGACCACTAAGTGGAGCACCACTTTTCTGACGTAGAAAATAATTCAAATCTGGATCAGTCTGTATCAGATCCGTTGCAGCCCCTTTTTTTTTTAGAGATTTGGGTATAGAGGAAAAGAGAGAGGGTTGTGTTTTCTGACACTTGGTGAGTTCCCTGACACACCGGGGACACATATTCATGTATAAAAGACGTACAAGAGTGCATTGTGCATAATAGGTCCACTTTAACTTGTCCAGTGTTACATTATAATTGCATTTTCCCATAAACAGTATTGCAATGAGGGCAGTCTAAAATAAAGCAATACATCAGAAAACTGTCCATCTCCAGATTTTCATTCTGTCAGTTCAGAATAAAGATAAATGCTCCTCTATCTATCGACAAAATACTCCAACATCCTTTTCTAGAAAAACATTTCATTTGGTAACTTGTAATCATTTTGTTGTCATTTTGAGTGTTTTGAGTTCATTTTGCATCTGCTTGTGGTATTTTATTAATTTTCCAAAATATTAACAATCACTTTAAAACAGCAGCCTTTCAAAGCTTTTAGTCAGCTTTCCATATATCATGCAGTGAACATTCTGAAACCTTCTCCAGTACTGAACCTAAACATACAAAGACAATTATATATTTACAAAAATAGAATAAACAATATAATATTTTCAGCCATACAATATTACATCAAATGTATCTACTGTGTACAAGGACTCCGTAATATTGTGTACCTTAGCTACCAGCAGAGTTATCATCTCCTTCACTGTCTCTTCAATCAGATCGTCAATCTGGGAGTGGTACTGCCTCTGCACAGGAAGGAAACACAGACATGTTCAACACACACACACACACACACACACACACACACACACACACACACACACACACACACACACACACACACACACACACACACACACACACACACACACACACACACACACACACACACACACACACACCACCATGTAGACACATTAAAGGGAAACACTGGCAGTTATATATTCATTGATAGTATGTATATTCCTTTGTAAGGAATTCGTCTGTAAACGTTATATTCTGTAGGAACACACATTTGGCTCTAAATAGTTACTATAAGATGTTGCTGGTGAGCTGCAAAGCAGAGCTTTTTAAGAAATAATCAAATATTTACCATGTTAAATCTCAAAACCGCTACAGTATCTGTCAGGCAGAAACTTGGGACAAGTAATTTGACTGAAACCTTAAAACTGAACTAACTGACTGCTAGGGTTAACTTTGATTTAAACATTTGTATAATACTAAGAGCTTTATTGAGTAGGTGTAACTGTATTAAGGGTTAAACTCATAACTTTATAAATTAGGGTTTAATGTAATTGTAAAACCATTGGGCCACTGAAAAGACACAATAACAACTCAGGAGGGAGCCAGTCTAGATTTCCTTTTGAGGGCCACCAGCTGCAGAGAGTTAACTAATTAAAGGGACGTGGCCCCACAGCTGTGAGAACTCAGCAATCAGGTGTCCATTTTAGGTAGCTCTTTCCTGGAGCGTCAGCTTCAGCGTCAGACTGACAAAGACAATAGAGTCCTGCTGGAGTAAGACTGACAAAGACATTGGAGTCCTGCGGGAGTAAGACTGACAAAGACATTGGAGTCCTGCGGGAGTCACGAGGGGGGCAAAGAGGAGGCAAATCCTACTTTGATTGAGCTAAGTATCGCTGGTGTTTTATTTGATTTGGTTGTTTAGCCCCTCATGCTATAATCATGTGTATTTTCTCCATTCCTGTTTATGTGTCTTCTCGCAATTATCACTGGCCCCGTGTATCTCGTAATCGATATAACCGGCCTGCTCTCGTCTATCCCACATGCTCCACTGACATCCAACATCTAGTTTCAGGTGGCCTGTGGAACTGCCAGTCAGCTGTTCCTAAGGCTGACTTCATCTCTGGCTACGCCTCCCTGCAGTCTCTGGATTTCCTTGCTCTCACTGAGACCTGGATTACTCCATCCAACACATCTACCCCAGCAGCTCTCTCCACAGCATATTCATTCTCCCATACACCCAGACCCACTGGCAGAGGAGGTGGCACTGGTCTCCTGCTCTCTCCCAAATGGAGCTTTTCCCTCTTCAAGCTACCTAACTTCACTCCTTCCACCTTTGAATTCCATGCCGTCACAGTAACCCATCCTATACAATTAACCATTGTTGTTCTCTACCGTCCACCAGGCGCCTTGGGGGACTTCTTGGAGGAATTAGATCATCTCCTCTCACACATCCCTGAAACTGGCCCTCCCGCTGTACTTCTCGGAGACTTCAACCTCCAGACGGGGAAGATAGACGAACTAACATCTCTGTTAACCGCCTTTGCTTTCTCACTGTCTCCGTCCCCACCGACTCATAAAGCTGGCAATGTCCTTGATCTCATATTCTCAAGGAACTGCGCTACTTCTAACCTCTCTGTAAACCCGCTCCACACATCCGATCACTTCTTCATTTCATTCTCTCTATCCCTTTCCAAACATAACGAACTAATCTCTTCTCATAATGCACCTGTCCGCCGTAACCTTTGTTCCCTCTCCCCCTCTACCTTTGCCTCATTGGTGCTCTCAGCCCTCCCTTCCTCTGACTCGTTCCAACTCCTACCTCCAAACTCTGCTGCAGAAACTCTCCTCTCTACTCCTCTCTGGACTCTCTCTGTCCTCTCACATCTCGGCAGGCTCGTCAGTCCCCTCCTGCTCCCTGGCTAAATGATGCACTGCGTGCTAATAGAACCGTCCTTCGGGCAGCTGAGCGGAAACGGTGGAAATCCAAACACCATGACGACCTCCTAACCTATCAGGCTCTCCTCTCCTCTTTATCTGCTTCGATCTCTCAGGCAAAAAGCACTTTCTTTCAAAATAAGATCCAATCTTCCTATTCCAATCCCAAAAAACTATTTTCCATCTTCTCCACCCTCTTGGACCCTCCCAAAGCCCCTTCCCCCTTCTGTCAAGCGACTTTGTTACCCACTTTGAAAAAAAGGTTGATGATATTTGCTCTTCTTTTTCTGACTCACCTTTACTCACCGCTGGGTCACCAGACCTTCCTTCCACCAACACACTTACCTCCTTTTCCCCTCTCTCTCCAAGTGAGGTTCTTACCCTCATTACCTCTGCCCGCCCTACCACCTGTCCTCTGGACCCTATCCCTTCAAACCTCCTTCAGACTATCGCTCCTGATATTCTACCGTTTCTCACCCATTTCATCAACACTTCTCTAACTTCTGGTCACTTTCCAAACAGTCTCAAGGAGGCAAGAGTAAACCCTCTCCTAAAGAAACCCACTCTCAACCCGTCTGATGTTATAAACTACAGGCCTGTCTCTCTCCTCCCGTTCCTGTCTAAATCACTTGAACGCGCTGTCTTTAAACAACTCTCCTGTTATCTCAATCAGAACAACCTTCTGGATCCACACCAGTCTGGTTTCAAGGCAAGTCACTCCACAGAAACTGCCCTCCTTGCTGTCACTGAGGAACTGCACACTGCTAAAGCAGCCTCCCTCTCCTCTGTCATCATCCTTTTGGACCTGTCTGCTGCATTCGACACGGTGAATCATCAGATCCTCCTTCGCACTCTCCAAAAACTTGGAGTTTCAGGCTCTGCACTTTCCCTCCTCACCTCATACCTCAAAGACCGCACCTACAGGGTTACTTCGAGAGGGTCGGAATCCGACCCTTGTCAATTAACTACAGGGGTCCCTCAGGGCTCTGTTCTTGGTCCCCTCCTCTTCTCCTTGTACACAAACTCGCTCGGATCTGTCATTAGCCCGCATGGTTTTTCATACCACTGCTACGCTGACGACACCCAATTAATTCTGTCCTTTCCCCGCTCAGAGACCCAGGTCGTCGCACGCATCTCTGCTTGTCTAGCTGACATATCTCAGTGGATGTCTGCTCATCACCTCAAGCTCAACCTTGACAAGACTGAGCTGCTCTTCCTCCCGGGAAAAGATTGTCCCACTCTTGACCTAACAATCAACATCGGCACCTCTATTGTTTCCCCGACTCAGACTGCAAGGAATCTGGGTGTGATCCTAGATAACAACCTGTCCTTCACTGCAAACATCGCTGCTACAACTCGCTGCTGCAGATACACGCTTTTCAACATCAGGAGGATACGTCCCCAGCTGACCCAGAAAGCGACGCAGGTTCTGGTCCAGGCTCTCGTCATCTCTCGCCTAGACTACTGCAACTCCCTCCTGGCTGGTCTACCTGCATGTGCCATCCGACCTCTGCAGCTCATCCAGAATGCAGCGGCACGTCTGGTCTTTCTAAATGTTCCCACACCACGCCGCTCCTCCGCTCCCTTCACTGGCTTCCAGTAACTGCTAGAATCCACTTCAAGACAATGGTACTTGCGTACCATGCTGCGAATGGATCTGGCCCTTCGTACATCCAGGACATGGTTAAACCGTACACCCCAGCGCGTGCACTCCGCTCTGCATCAACCAAACAGCTCTCTGCACCCTCGCTGCGAAGGGGACCCAAGTTCCCATCAGCAAAAACACGTGGGTTTGCTATCCTGGCTCCAAGATGGTGGAATGAGCTCCCCATTGACATCAGGACAGCAGAAAGCTTACACACCTTCCGGCGCAAACTGAAAACTCATCTCTTTCGACTCCACTTCGAGCGATAGAACTATTAACAAAGCACTTAAATACTAATAAAGGACTGGCTTATCTAAAGCCAGTTGAGTGGCACTTGAAATGTTTTTGCTCTATGAAGCCTGATGTACTTATATGATTCTGTTTTCCTCAAGTTTGTATTTTGTTGGTCGAACGCACTTATTGTAAGTCGCTTTGGATAAAAGCGTCAGCTAAATGCAATGTAATGTAATGATATTCTAAAAGACCAGCAGCATGAGCCTCATACAGAACTGAACTAGAAAATAGAGCCCACTCTGCTACTTCACAAATATGATGGTGTTTCTGTTTTACATTTGAAATAATTAAATAGAACAGTTTAATAGTTAGAAAAACATTTGCTCAAAACTGGTTATGGGTGCTTAGCATTTATTTGAACATTATAATTGATAAATAAATATAATTAATAAACGAATAAGACCTCTGGGGGAAATCAGAATCATTAAACAATTCAACCATGTTCTTCTTTCCTTTCAAAACATAATATATATTTCAAACTCCTTGCAATAGGAATGAACTGAGATTGACTGTGTTGATTTTGAACATTAACACTTACACTGCCACATCACATCATGCGTATCTTGAGATCATCTTAATTGGCAGTTAACAACTACAAACTGTTAATTTGACATTAGCATACAGATCATTACAAATATAATAAACAGTGTGCACCTCTCTTAAAATGCATGCTAACTGAATCACCCACACAATTGTTGAATATTGAAATGAATGAAGAAATATTATTATTTATCATCACTACTCATACCGAGCACTTTTTCAATTGGACAACAACTAAAATAAGTAACAAACCAATCTGTAACTGACTGCAGAAACTAGGTTCTATCTGCAATAACAAGTAATTATCAATTCAATCTAATCAGTAATGAGATGTGAAGATTAGAGAGTTCAACTATACTGTAAATGTTAATGTGGAAAAACACATAATGTTGCAAAGCTCAGAACAATTAAATGTAGACCATATCTTAAATATAAAAATGCAAAATAGAAACATTATTTCATTTTATGTTCTGATTTATGTTTTCAAGAAAAAACCTTTTAGTTTCATTTTTTTGTTATACACACATTAAATTATTTGCTTTATATTTGGTCATAGTTTAAAAAACGTGTTTGCTTTGACCTGCTTAAATATGACCTACACTATTACTTAATAATACTTGTTTTTGTAATGAAGGGCTTTATAACCAGTATGAAGACGTTGGGATGGTGTCTGCTGTCATGGAAACTGTGGGGACTCCTTTGTTTAGCCTGTAGCACCAGCAGAACAGTGAAGGACATAGCAATAATTCATTCATTGTCAGCAATTGGTATCAGTCTCGAGATTCTGCGAAATATGAGATCTCTCACTTCTACCCCATGTATATTCAATAATATCTATACATATGTTAATGAAATCCTAACAATTCAAGTGGATGAAGACACACAGGGAAAACTGATGACTAATTATACATTTGGGAACTGGAGGGTGAGACTTCAATTGAATTTGTAGCCACACTTACCCAGTCTCTAACAAACTTTCACAAGACAGAGAGTGGGGGGGGGAACAAGCAGCAGAAAATAAGAAAAAGAAAAAAGTGAAATGGCCTATGTGAATACTGAAAAAGAAGTAGAGACAAAAAGGAATGAAAACTGTATTCATGCAACAGAGAGACAAAATGAAAACCATTCCAAAGAGAAACCTAAATGATTTATTGTCATTTCAAATGATATGAGATGAAATTGTCCACACATAGTCAGTGAAAGGTTTCAACTTTGAAGTCAGACAAAATGATTTGGCTCCGCTCCCTGTTTTAAAGAGATTGAGTGTCAGTACATGAGGAGGGTCTCGTACCTCCTGCCCCAGGTCCATGGCACACAGCTTGGCGGACTGGGCCTTGGCGTCCACCATCACGTTGAACATGGTGCAGATGGACTGCGGCACGCGGAACTCTGTGGCCCGGCTGCTCCTCTGGAGCTTGGCCTCGAACGCAGCCCGCGTCCTTTAGAGAGGGAGGGGTGGACTTCAGAATACTGAGGCCATGAGTCAGTCCCCAAACCCCCCACCTGCCTTAATTAATAACATGCTTTTTACACATTCTCTCAATATTTATATATTCACTCAAAATGATTGATTTAGCCACCTTGTCTTAATTTTGCATTGCAGAAAACACAAGCAAACAACAAATGTACTCCAGCACCACACTTAAGTTGTATTGAAAATCAGAGTAATCCTCGTCCTAGTCATTGTGTCAATGCGCTCATACTGTACATCTTAAGAAAGTTATCACCAAAAATGTTAAGAATATTTTTAGACAACGTTATCCTACCTTTCAGAAGAACATTCTGGGAACCAAAATAAAACTCACATTAAAGGAACGTTTTATAAAAAACGTTCTGTCATCTCAGGCCTCAATAACATCCTGAAAACATTTTCTGAATGTTGCTTTGAAAATGTTCTTCTTTTGTTGTCATAACATTGAGGGAATGTTTTATAAAAGAACATCTGTACTGTGTTACCTCAACAACGTCCAAAAAACATCCTTAGAATGTTGCAGGCAAAACGTTCCACCTTTGTTAACATATCACATTGAAGCAGGGGTCACCAACCTTTTTTAGGATGAGGGCTACTTTCAAAAAATAAAACAAGTCGGGGGCTACTTTTGCTCATCTTTTCTTTTTCTTTTTTTGCAGTGTGTATATTTATCACATTTTAACGTTATTATATGCTGACCTTTAACCTTTGTGTGCTGTTTGGGTCTGTGGGACCCGTTTGCAGAGTTTACTAAAAGAACATGTATTCAATTTAATTATTTTAACCTGCTTTATTTGGGGGTGGGCCTCACATCCTCTAGGGGGGTCCTCACCTCTGTCTGTCTGTCTGTCTGTCTGTCTGTCTGTCTGTCTGTCTGTCTGTCTGTCTGTCTGTCTGTCTGTCTGTCTGTCTGTCTGTCTGTCTGTCTGTCTGTCTGTCTGTCTGTCTGTCTGTCTGTCTGTCTGTCTGTCTGTCTGTCTGTCTGTCTGTCTGTCTGTCTGTCTCTCTCTCAGAGGCTGCTCCTCCGTGGCGATGACGGCTTGCGTTAAAAAATAAAAATAAACATATTTGTAAAGTGGGGGGACACAAACGGGATTTCGAAGTGTCCCCCTTGTCTCCAGTGGAAATAACGCCATGCGTGTGTGTGTGTGCGTCAAGTGCAATACATATGTATGCAAGTTGCAACACACACAGAGTAAAGCTCTGCCCCTCATGTGCTGTATAGGCTGGCACAACTAGGCTGTGTTCGATGGGGCTGATGTGTTGTGTAGATTCTGCCAGAAGGAAAATCAGTGAGGAGGTGCCACATTGCTTTTCTTCCCGACTGCAACGCTGGTCCCGCAAATCAAGCAAGAACGTGATTGGTCGATATTCATTGTGGGGGGAGGAGGGGCGTTATAGAGTCGTAGTAAGTAGATCGCTATGATGTAGGTTTCGTTTATGCATAGGGTAGATTCTTTTAATTACATTTCCTTTTTTGTTTTGTGTATTTTATACATTTAGGATTTGCTTGGCGAGCTACTTTTAGAACATGCCCCTGCGGGCGACTAAGTGCCCGCGGGCACCGCGTTGGCTACCCCTGCATTAAAGGAACGTTTTATAAAAAAACTTAATCTCAGGCCTCAATAACATCCTCAAAACATCCTCTGAATGTTGCAGTTAAAACGTTACCTCTTAATTAACCTTAAACCTTATAGGAACATTATTTGAAATAATAAGCATCATAAAAAGGTTCTTTGAACATCAGATTAAAACGTTTCTTTAAAACATTATTATAACCTGTAGGTAACGTTAGCCAAAGTTGTGAGAACGTTCCCTGCTAGCTGGGTACATCTCTTGCTTATTTCAAAAGTAATTGCATTTACTTCTTCATTGGAAAAAAATGTATTTTATATAGCTTTTAACTAGATTGAAATAGTGCCAGTTCCATCAGTCACCATGTCCTTTCATTGCATGGCTTGGTTGAATACTTAATTCTGATTGGTCAATTTGAACCTTCTACTGTCTTTTATGAAAGGCACACTGAACTTATGTGCCAGATGTTGTGATATAACTGATCTATTAGTAAGTTGGCTTGTAATGGGATAAAGTGCAGACCACAGGCTGAAACAGATGCACATTGGATCTCGTTATTTCTCTCCAGCCCCCGAAACCCCAACTTACTACTAGAAAACAAGCAGTAACAACTATTTTTGTTTGCAATCAGACCAATATATATTTGACCAGTGTCCTACCGTTTTACGCATGATTCGATCATGTCGCTGGACATCAGCTTCAGGCGGGTCTCCAGGTGTTTGCCAAACTCCTCCTCAGGCCAGTGCAGATCTCTGATGAAGGTCTGCAGAGCGTCCAGCTTCCAGAAGAGGTCCTCTGACGTTCCCGAGCCGTTACTGCAGGGAGAGTGCACTTATTGTAAGTCGCTTTGGATAAAAGCGTCAGCTAAATGCTATGTAATGAGAGGCTCACAGGTGTCAGGGAGGCTAGGGCAGGGCTGTGGCTCAGGGGTCACTTGGGAGGGCAATGTGAGAGACTGCTCAGACCAGGGTTTACAACAACAGTGCAGCTGGTTGTTTTTGAACACCACTGACCATTTTATCAAGAATATGACTTCCATGAAGAGTTTTAAACTCAACCATGGCTCAGACAGAACCACAGTGCAGGGACATTCAGACACACGAGAGGACAGGGTGCTACAGCTTCAGGTACCCGGGGGAAAGCTTTAGATGTGGAAAGATGCAAGTCTGTAACCAGGACATTCAGAGATCGCCTCTGCCAGTTTAAACCGGATTCACAGCTGTATATACTTTACATTTTGGCAGAAATTTAGATTTTCACATGATTTTTAAATGACCTGCTTCTCATCCTGTGGTGTGAATTGACATTTGTATCCTGGTCAATGAGGATGCTTGTTTCTGATTGGATTACAGTTGCTAATAGTAACAAGACAGTACATCGCACACAGGTTCAAAATTAATTAACCAGCAACAGCCACCATGAGGGTTAGCTAAAAAGAACTCAGGTTGTTTATGTAACCAATACAAAAATGCTGATCATCAGATCAGGTTCAATCCCTCCTGGACCCCCACTGCAGTCAGCATGCCGTTGTGTCCTTGGGCAAGACCCTTGACCCCAAATTACTCCTGAGGGTGTTGTCCACAGTATTGAATGTATTCAATGATTAATATATGTAATATATTGTAACGTAAAGCGCTTTGAGCACTTGGAAAAGCGCTACGATAAATAACACGATTATGACTATTATTAAAGCTGCTGGGTTAGAAGTCCTAAACAAGTTGTTTTTCTAAATGTTTCCTAGGCGAGTATATTAGTTATAATTTTAAATAAAATATATTACCATTGAGCTTGTCACAGAGTCGCTAGCATGGTTCTTGTTTACATTTTTCACACTGAAGGCAAAGTATGTATGTGGTTTAAATTAAGAGCATTAACGAGCATGGAAAATGTTATGAATTGATCATAACATTGGAGAACATGTGGTAAACAGATCTGTTTGGTAAAGCCTCACGCCTGCTAGTTGTGAACATTTAGGATGGTCTTCTTTTAGTTGCTCCTTTTTTTCTTTTTCTGCCTCTTCGTTATGTATTTGCATCTTTCCAGTCAAATCAGAAAAACATTTGGAAATTGTTGGGATTTAATTTCCAGGTCACTGCCTTCTCCATTCATTCATTCACACACACACACACACACACACACACACACACACACACACACCACACACACACACACACACACACACACACACACACACCACACACACACACACACACACACACAACACACACACAACACACACACACACACACCACACACACCACACACACACACACACACACACACACACACACTAACACACACACACACAACACACACACACACACACACACCATGCCGGGACATTGGCATGAACGTGAATAGTGAAAGGTGATAAGTCAATATTACCATAGACCATTAATGTATGCACTCCTGAACTTAAACCTTTTTGGAAAGCCATCTGTCTTCTTTAAACTACTGATTCTTGAAGGCACAAAAGAGACAGTTCTGCCATATCTGTAGGCCTCTTTCTTTTTGAAAAGTGAATTTGTTTCTAAATATAAAGGCTGAAATGCAGCTCTCATCATTTTTTTCACAATTAAAACTTTGGGGCTGGTATTTCTCCAGATGAGGGAACAGTCCGGATGTGCTGCAGTGACACTCTGCAGGAGGCTGCCGCTCAGAGCAGCTTCACACCTCTGAGCCCCGTTGTTGGTGCTTTTTGCTTAAGTTTTCACGGTGCTATAGATGATGTGTCAAGTGTTTGCAGAGATATGCAGAGTGCTTTTAATGATCTCAAGATCACATGCATATTATTATTAGATTCCTCAGTAGTGGAATCAGAGGCTGTTACACATTATTCACTCTTTTTAAAGGGCCACAGAAATTCTACTTACAGTTCATACTTTTAATGAGCTCGATTTCATGATTTAATAATAGATGATACAGAACTACCGACTGTTCACTCTGAAGGAGCTGCAATGTGTTTATACATTAAAGGTGGGGTAGGTAAGTTTGAGAAACCGGCTCGAGATACACTTTTTGTTATATTCCATGGAATGCTCTTAACATCCCGATAGCAATGAATATCTGAAGTGCTTTGACAACAAATCCATAAAAAAATGTCATCTCTGGAAGCTGTAGTACTGTAAAAAGCACGACCAATCATCTGAGCCGGCTAAAGTAACTGGATGGCCTACCTGCCTGTCAGCCTTCCATCTGTGCACAAACTTATCTCGTGCCCTCATTGGTCATGTGCGCGTTCGTGTGTGTTGGAGGAGGGGCTCTGTGAGGAAGTGGCAGATTTTTCCGGTTGTGTATTTTCAAATTCTAGCGCACTCGAGCTGGTTTCTCCAAAATGACCTACCCCACCTTTAATGTGTGTATACATTAAGATAAAACCTATTATATTTTTTTCACATTATAGATGATTAGAATTTTTCTTGATTTCCTGTAAAAACCAACAACCAAGAATGGAAAGAAATGTGCATAATAAAAATATTCCACGTTCATGCCAAGGACATGTGTGTGTGTGTGTGTGTGTGTGTGTCAGGCTGCAGAGGCTCATACACACTGATAACTATCCTCCATCCAGCTGGGTGAAGATAAGCCGGGCGTGTGTGTGAGGTTAGCACTGGGCCCTGTGAGAGTTTCTACTCTGGGCTTTGGGAGGTTGACATTGGGCAGAGTGCTGGATTTACTCCTGTGGAGAGAAGCATAATAACACAAGACAAAAAAAGGAGATACTACGTCAAAGATGATTCACATGAAAAATAACTGAAGATACACCTCAATGAAAATGTTTTATTGCGGGTTCAATTTAAATGCCCACATCTTCTGTACCTACTAACCTTATGTCTGTGGTCTGTAAGATGTTAAATAGGTATACACATTAATATGGGCAATTACATGTAAATATAGCCCCACATTGTCATGCAAATGTGCGGGGTAAGATTACTTTACAACTGCTCATTTGAAGCAGTTTGCCAGTGTTTACTCTCATGGTGTGTTTGTTATAACGTGGTGCACTAGCTTTAAGGTGGGACAGTTATCACACTCACCTCATAATAATGCTTTGATGTCATTTCATGTTGTTGTTGTTGGTGAATGTTGTTAGCTTTTTGTATCTGTTAGCCTCTCTCCTGATCTACATCAAGAGTAAGACTTTGCACTTATTGGCTGGAGAAAGTGAAAACATTATTTTGTGAGACAATGTCTTAGGTAGTGTGGATTGACACCAGAGAAGCTGAGATGATACTTTCATCGACACAGCTTAGGTATCAAACTAAATAATTTCAAGGTATTTTTAATTGCAGATTTTGCAACCTAATTTAGGAGATTATAACCTGTAGCTGGTGCACATGTGTTCTGTTTGCATCCTTTAACCATGAGACCATCCCAATTCTAGCTGCATTACATATACATTATCTTATTTCATCAGAATGTACCATTTTACTAGCCCAGGTTCTTTCAACCCCCCAAAACTATATAAGAAAAAAATCATTATAAATCACTGTGAGTTGTTTAAAAGAGCTTGCTGTTCAGCCCTCTAACCACCAGGGGGTAACTTATTTTGCTGGTCCCAGCTCTGATCCTCTGATGACGTTTTCCTAAAAAGGAATCTGAACTGTCCTCCATAATGCGGCAACAAGGAGCCTCCCTTCTGCAGCGGGAGGTGTACATCTCCATACATTTCTCAGCTGTTTGTGGTCAGTCAGGTTGCCAAACCACAGCAGTGTGCTCCCTGTAATCAGTGGCGGCCGGCCCATACAGATGAAGCACTCCAGATCGGACTCACATGGGTGTGTCCCAGTCAAAAGCCCAGCGGATCCCAGTGGCTGGGGGTGTTGCCAAATTGCTAGAGGGCGTTGCCCAATTTCCCCATTTGTTCAATTACAGGATTTAACCATGAGATGGCGCTTCATTCACAAAATACACAAAGACAACTGGGTGTTGTTGAACTTAGTCTGTTTGCAAAGTTTGCAGCTCTGCAGTTGTGTTTGCTGAATACTGTAGCATTTAATCACTTATTTGTTACTGTATGGTTTTCACAAGCTACTATAATGAAAAAACATCAATATTTTAGATCAAATAAAGTATATAGTTTGCTTTATGCAGTATATTTCTTGTAATATTGTTGGGGTGTTTTTACACAGTACAGTAGATTGAAGTAAATCAACTTATACATTAAGATAAGATAAGATGGACCTTTATTAATCCCGTGGGGAAATTCAGTAGTTCAAACAGCAACAGGGTGAGAGGGAAAAACAGGACAGCACAGATTCACACAGATTAATAAAATCAAAAATAAGATGAGCGATAAAAATAATAATAATGAGAAACTATGAAATAAGAAATGAATAAAACTAAAATGTAATTATCATATCATATATTATAATGTATTGTATTATTAAGTAATATCATACATTAACCCCATTATAGCAGATGCCACATTGAATGGATGAACACATGTATGCATCAATAATTACAACAGAGTATTTCTAAGTACAAGTTGTAAAAATACTTATATGTATTTAATATTAACCCTTTGGAGTCGACCGTCACGCCGGCATGATCAGATCACATGACCTGTTCAAGCCGGTGCCGCATAAAAACAACAGTCCGGACAACATTGCCGTGTGTTTCTGTCGAAAGTACTGGCTTGAAACTATATCCCAGTCTTTGTTTCATGCAAACAGACCCAGTAAACACGGAGATACGATGATATAAAGTTAATACATTTCAAAAGTATGAATAATGGAAGCACATATCTGAATATCTTCGACTGGCTTGAAACTATATGCCAGTCTTTGTTTCATGCAAAAAGACCCAATAAACA